AAGAAAAGAAAAGAAAAGAAAAGAAAAGAAAAGAAAAGAAAAGAAAAAGATAACATTTTTGAATCCACCTATGATCTGGAAGCCCCAGCTTTGAGTTGTCCTGCCTTACTGCACTGAATGAATGTATGCTTCACATCACATGTATTGACTGATGTCGTTTTTGTTTTTTGAGACAGAGTCTTGCTCTGTCACCCAGGCTGGAGTGCAGTGGTGCAATCTTGGCTCACCGCAACCTCCACTTCCCAGGTTCAGGCGATTCTTGTGCCTCAGCCTCCAATGTAGCTGGGGCTACAGGCTCTGCCACCACACCTGGCTAAGTTTTGTATTTTTAGTAGAGCCAGAGTTTCACCATTTTGGCCAGGCTAGTCTCAAACTCCTGACCTCAAGTGATCCACCGGTCTTGGCCTCCCAAAGTGCCGGGATTACATGTGTCAGTCACAGCGCCCGGCCTGATGTCTTTTATTATTTTTATTTTTTAAACAGAGTCTTGTTCTGTCACCCAGGCTGGAGTGCAGTGGCACAATCAAAGCTCACTGCAGCCTTGACGTTTTGAACTCAAGCAATCTTTCCACATCAGCTTCCCAAGTAGCTGGAACTACAGGCATGTGCTTCACACCCAGATAATTTTTTTTTTTTTGGTAGAGAGGGTTTCACTATATTGCCAAGCTATTCTCGAACTCCTGGCCTCAAGCAACCCTCTGCCTCAGCCTCCCAAAGTGCTAGGATTAAGGGCATGAGCCACGTGCTCGGCAATGGATTAATGTCTTATGTTTCCCTAAAAGATATAAAACCAATGTGAAACCCAATCACCTTGTGCACATGTTCTCAGGACCTCCTGAGGCTGTGTCATGGATCATAGTCTATAACTTGGCAAAATAAACCTCTAAATTGAATGAAACCAGTCTCAGATGCTTTTTAGTTTATATATGTGTTTAGTAACAGGCTAGAATCACCCCCTCAAGCCTCCTGATGTCTAGTCTAGTGAGATTTTCTCACACAGTGCTGGTATAATGTGCATAGTAAATGCTTATTTGAAGACTTAATGATTAAACTACACTAGCTTTCCCAAACTTTCTGGGGTTGATTTATTTCCCTGTGGACCCAACTAGACCAATTTACAGAATTATCATCAAATTACAGTAAGAACCCCTTTCTTCAATTATCTCAAAATCAAACAATTAGACAACCAAGCTGTGCAAAACACAAAGAACTTACAAGTAAAAATTAAATAAAGATCTCTAAATAGCCAAAATGACTCTCACAAACACCAAGAGAAATCTTTGCTCAACTTTTTATTCTATACATACTTCCAGTTAGTTTGGTGATATGATTTTGAAGCTTGTAGATATCAGAAGTAGCAAACCACCAGATAAAATATGTGCCAGATGGGATCAGGGATAGATAGCCTATAGTGACAGTTGTCAGAATTAAAATATCAGATCTCACAGAAATAGAAGACATAAAAAAAAAAAAAAAAAAAAAAAAAAAGATAAAATGCATAGCTCTCTGGGTCCACTTGGGGGAGCCAATAATCTTCAATAGTTAATTATTAACTACTGTTAATTATCACTATTAATAATGACAATCTAGCAGGATTAATGAATGCTTATATCATGTTATAATACTGTGCTTAAGGGAGGTGAGTGTGTGTTTTAAATAAAAAGTAGATAATGATGTTTTGAAGTTTGGGAAGCTAAAGAGGAAACTTTCAGTTACCAGAAAAATTTATATATGTAAATTCTTTAAACAAGTTCAGAAAAATAAGGTTATATGAAGCTCTAGACATTAACCCATAAAAATAAAGAAAAGTAAAGACTTCATAAGCCTTGAAGTAAAACAAAACAGAGTGGCTCAACAATGCAAACAAATACACTTTAAGACATTTGAGTTGATGGAATTCAGAAAAGAACTTGTTATTCTATCAGGTTTTTGTTTTGTTTTGTTTTGTTTTTAAGAGATAGAGTTTTACTCTGTCACACAGGCTGGAGTGCAGGGGTGTGATCACCACTCGCTGCAGCCTCAACCTCCCAGGCTCAAGCAATTCTCTCAACTCAGCTTCCAAGTAGCTGGGACTACATGTGTGTGCCACCATACCTGGCTAATTTTTTAACTTTTTTTGTAGAGATGAAGTATCCCTATGTTGCCCAAGCTGGTCTCCAATTCCTGGGCTCAAGTGATCCTTTTGCCTTGGCCTCACAAAATGCTGGGA